TTTAGTCTCATCTCTGCCGACTCAATTTGAAAGCCCAATCTTTTTAAAAATAGAATGAGATAAGCCCTCTTAGACACACCCCAGACCCTGAAAGTCCCATGTTTTCCCTTCTTAAATACATCTTTCTGTATATATTCCTGTGTCTCTGGCAGTGTGGGCAGGTGACCTGAGCCCTCTCTTGATAGAATTTCTGAACAGTTCCCAGGAGGTTCCCCAATCCTCTCCAGCCCCACTCTTGGGCATCCTAGGCAAAGCTCCAGAGGTCTTCAAGCCAGGCTGGCTGGAAAGAGGTCTAGAGGCATAACTGTGTTCATGCCTCTTCACATCCCCAACTCCTTCCCTTTACTTGAGAGCTCTCAGGTGGGCAGGGTCTCCCTGAGGGTCAGTGTCCCACATTCAGTCTAGAGAAGAGTTTCTTTCTCCTCTTTCCTCTGTGATTACTGCAAATAGTGGATATGATACAGTCCGTGCACTGGCTTCCCTTCCAGTGTCTACAACTTCCTCCAAGAGCAAATGCTCAACAACATTACACACTTCAGGCCGTCTTCTTGAACATAACAGAATGACTTCACTTCAGGTGCACTGATACAGAGCAAGGTGCAGGTAGTGGTGTCCAAGTGGTGAGGACAGTTCTCTCCAGCCACCCAAACCCAACTGCCTTCTCTCCAGTCAACTCACTTTTGTACTCCCTTCTCCAATTCCCCTGCTTCTAGCTCCCTCCCACACCTAATTTTCCTAACTTCATTGGTCACCAAGGATATCTATGCTTCCACAGAGTCAGGTGGTTCCTGCCCTAAAGTGTAGGGGAGGCTTCTCTCCACTCCAGCTTCTGTTTTCACCTCCCACTTCTGCAAAAGAAGCTGAGACAGCTCAGTCTTGGTTTTCTCTGTCTTCTGTCTCCTGCCTAGATCCTGCAGTTTATCTAGAACCTTCAAGTTATAAAACCTTCTGAGTCTCAGTTTCCTTATTTGTAAAACAAGGATGATAATATTATGTGCATCAAGGGTGTAAGAATCAA